GCGGAGGGCAGGGCACGCCGCCCGGCGCCCAGGGCCGGCGCGAGCCGGGCGCGCGGAAGCTGTCGGGAAGCTGGTGCTGCAACCCCCAGCTCCGCCTGAGGGTCGCGTCGACGTGCACAGTGCGCGCCTGCCTGTCCTCCTGGGACCCGCGAATGACGCCGCCCGGCACGGCCGGTCGCGGCAAGGCCGGCCGCGACTGGGGCTGTGGCCTGGCCGTGCTGCACGCGCCGAGGGGCGGCGGCGGCGGTGCGGGAAGCGGCGGGGGGAGCGGCGGCGGGCGGGTGTGGCGGGTGGAGGAGGGTATGGTGGTGCTGGACACTGGGGCGTCGGCCGGGCGCGAGGTGGTGGTGTCGTGGGTGGCCAGCAGGGGGGCGGCGTACGTGGTGGTGCCATACGCCAGGTGCGGCCATGCGCGCGCGCACACACGTGTGCGCATGTGTGCGGGTGTGGGCGCGACTTCCGGCTCGCCCGCGTTGCAGCCGTGTTGTGTTTGCAGATTGGGGCGCCTCTTATAAAGGACTGGGTTTGGAGAGGAGACGGCTCGCACCTGCATGCTTGTGATGGTGGATCGGCGCCGGTGAGGAGCCCTGCTTTTGACAGCGTTGCCCGCGGTGCTGCGCGTCAACGCGCGCAGGCGGCCCGGGTTGCAAGCACCCTTCGTCCTGCGCGCCTACGCGGCCTCAGAAATTGAGGTGGAGCAGCTGCCCGCCAGCTACGCACTGGGCCTGGCGGGCGCATGGCGGGGCGGCGAAGCCGGGGGGCCGCGCGACGGGCCGGCGGCGGCGGGCGGCGCGTGGCTTAGCAACCCTCAATATGCACTGAGCTGCCCTCGCTTGGCCACAGTTGTCGCCTCCCTCGTGCGCCCCGACGTCCGCGGCAGCCTGCTGCCGCCGCCCCCCGGCTCCGCCGGCGCGCCGGGCCTGTCGCTGGTGCTCCCGGGCGGCGGCACCGGCGGCGGCGGCTGCGGCGGCACCGGCGGCGGCGGCACCGGCGGCGGCGGTGGCGCCGGTGGGGGTGGCGCCGGCGGCGCGGTGCGACGCGCGCTGCAGCCCAAGCGAGAGGAGGTCGTGGCGGAGGCTGGGGGATGTCATGGTGACGTCACCGGCGACGAGGCCGTGCTGTTTGCTGAGCTGCAGCCGGGGGCGCCCTACCTGTTGGTCCCGTCACTGCCCATGCCAGGTAAGCGTGTGTATTGTTGCACACGCGAGCACGCGCGTGGGTGTGTGTGTCAGTGTGCGCACGTGCGTGTGTGCATGTGCTATGCATGAACCCGACAAATCGCACCGCTGCCAAGACGCATCCCGTTGTTCGTGGCGCATAGGCGCCACCAACACGCAGAGAAACAAGTATCCTGCGGCACGCCCACTGGTTACTCCCCCCCCGGCCGACCAGCAACTTGTCTTTTGGTGTGCAACCACACACGGATGCGGTACACCTCCCCCACACCCCACCTTCACCTGCCCCTCCCCCCCCCAACCCACCGTTGCGACCACTGGCAACCACCGCACCCGGACCCCAGGAATTGTGGGGCCCTACGAGCTGCGACTCTTCAGCTCCCAACCGCTGGAGCTGCGCCCGCTGCCGGCCGCCCGCTGCGCCTCGCTCGCGGGCGCCTGGGCCGGCGAGAGCGCGGGCGGGTGCGACCTGCACGCGACGTGGCCCTGCAACCCGGCGTACCGCCTGCAGTTTGACGCCGGCTGCGAGTGCAGGTACGCGTGCGGTATTTCAGCGGTCGATGGACGCCCAAAGCTTAGCTTGGCTTCCTGCAGTCAGGGCCTCAGCTAGCGCCTCAACTTGTGTACCCATCACATGCTTTCGGGGTGCCAAACGCTGTAAATCAGAGCCGCTCCCGCTGATGGAGTGTCTGGTCTGCTGGAACAATAATCAGGTGTTTGTTTGCCAGCCTTCGCGTGGGCGAGATGTGCTTACTGTCAGCCCTGGCACTGCCTGCCCGCTGCCTGGCCCCCTCATTTCGCCGATGCGTGCGCCCACAGGATCGTGCTCAGGCGCGACGCGCCTTGGGCGCGGGGCGCGCCCCTAGCGGGCATGCCTGGGCTGTACGTGCTGAGGGGCCCCGCCGGCGGCGGCCGCCCTTCGCCGGAAGAGTGGGCGAGGTGCGCTCGCGCGCTGCGGCGCGGCGCCGCCGTCCAGCCAACCCTCTGGAGTGCGGCCCCCTGCTTGTTCCATGCCGATCCTTGGCCTGCGCGGGCCACTGCACTCCTTGAGAGGGGGCCTGTCATTGCTGGCCAAACCCCTGACACGCGCGTGCCGGTGCACAGCCCTCACATCGTGTATGTACGCGCATACCCTTGTGCCCCTCGCAGGTGCAAGCTGGCCGAGTCGGCTTTTGTGCCGGCCCAGGAGGCGGCGCTTTCACTGCAGCTGCCGGGCGGCGAGCCGCTGCTGGTGGTGCCGTGCACGTTCGGCCCCGGGGTTGCGGGCGGCTACACGCTCTCCGTCGAGGCGCCCGCGGGCGCGTCGTTCAGCTTTGCAGAGGCCGCTGCATGACGTGCAGACGGCAGGAGGCAGACCGGCGGGGGGCCGAGCGCGGTGGGCCGGAGGCGGAAGCGGGGGTGGATGCAAGGGTCAGCACTGCGCACAGTCTTGCTGCAGCAACTGTTGGAGCAGCGCAGGTCAAACGCGCGATCACTGTAGTAGGCACTGTTCTGCCTGGATGTGCTGCAGGCCGTAAGGCAGCAAGAGATTGGCGTCCATTCATCTTGTTGTGGGCACGCAACCTTGTCGTCTGAGCGTGAAAGCAAGATCTCAGATTGGGCGGGCGGATGCAGCAGCTGATGCTGCCAGCTGTTCGGCGGGTGCGTAGGCCAGTCCGCTGCTCATTTTGCTGCTGTACCGAAGGAGCAGCAACTCAAGCTTTTGGATGCTTGCCCGCGAGTGGCCGTCTCATCAGTCACCGGGCACCACTCCCGGACAGTTGCGGGGTTCTCAACCCGAGCTTTGCAGCGCGGCCTGTTCATTACGCACACACTATCGTGTAACTCTGCCTCATTCCAGCAACCATAACCGGCCACGATGTCGTGCTGCTTCAACCCCCAAGCCAGCGACAACAAGTTGCTGGCCAAGCTCTCGGTGCGATCTCAGAGAGCTTGAGGCGAATTGCGCCGAAAACATCGATTGGTCCTACTGCCCCTAGTGCCTGCGTAGTTGGACTACCCATGCTCGCGCTGTCAGCGCGACGCCCACCACACTTGTCAGCTGGCGTCACCCAGACGCGCTGCATGGCCGCGGGCGGCCAATGCTCAGCCGCCGCCCCACGGACGGAACAGAAGACCCGTGTTAGACGCAACGCGTCTGGCGCCTGAGCAGCGGAACCATCTTCCCAGAGCGAGGGCGTCGCTAGCGCTAGCCAATGACAAAGCCCGACTGGCGTCAACCCTCAATCCCTCCACGCTGCCTGCGCTGCAGGCTATCGTCAGCGACCCGGCCATGGTGCAGGTGGGCGTTTGGAAGCCGGACAGCCACGCTCCACTGCCCTGCAGCAGAGCCGCCTGGAAACTCATAACATTGACTGCCACCACGCGCGGTCAATGCGAGGCCATGCAGCGGCGGCCCCGCCCGCATCACCCCCGCCCCCTCCTGCGGTACGCTAGCTCGCCTCTCTTCAAGGCCGCCGCGCACCTTGATTCCACCGTCGCGAACCTCCCACCGCCGTCGCCGCCGCCATTGCCGCCTTGAACGGCCGCAGAAGCCCATTGACATGGCGTTCAAGCACTTCGACAAGGCGCGCTCCCGCCGGGGGCGCGGGCGCTCTCCAGTTGCCGCCCCCGACCAGCGGCCTGCGCGCGGGGCGAGGGCGTGGCTTGCCGGCACCAGCCTGGCGCCCGCTCCAAAGGCTCCCTACATGCGCCCTCGGCCAGCTGGCTTCGGCCGACCCCTTCGCTTTTGTGCCGCATGCCTCTGCGACCGCTGCCGCTCGCTCCCCCCACCCGCCACCATCCATACGGCCAGCCCGACCTGTCTTTGAAGCCTCAACGCCCGCTTGCCCCCCTGGGCTTGGCCCCTGTAGCTGATTTTTTTCCCCTCGCGCGTGCCCCCCAGGACGGCAGCGGCTTCATAGAGGCGAGCGAGGTGCTGGCTGTTGCTGACAAGGTCTGCCGCGGCGCCGGGATTGCCAAGGCGCCCACCCCGGCCGTCAACATGATTTTTGACAAGGTGACCGTAACTGAATAGACAATACAGACCACGTCGGATCAATTATACCTAGACCATTAGGAGGGCAACTGATCATTGATAAAGGACCTGTTGTGACAACAAAGCCGGCCCCTGCGCCCCCGGCGACGCCAGCAAGCCGACTGTGTTTGATGGGGGGCACCCTGCTGCCTCGTCAACCGCCGAGCCCCGGCGATCTGTTCTGATGCTTCCCCTGGCTACAACCTAAACACAACAAAGGTCGCGGGCGCGGACGGCCGGCTGGACCGCGAGGAGTTTGGGCAGCTGCTGACTAAGATGTTTTACCTGGCCCAGGAGCAGACCAAGGAGAAGCTAGCCGGCGGCACCCCCGCCGCCCCGGCTGCTGCGGCCGCCCCCGAGCCGCTGGCCGCTGCATGACACGGGCGCGTGCGCGGCGGCGGGTTGCCGCACCAAACTCGGCTTGCGCATGGCGTGAGGGCGTGTCTGTGCATTGATCTGTCTTTGCCGGTTGGCCGAGTTGACGAGCGAGGTTGACGAGCGGGGGGCCTTGATTTGCAACAAAAGGAGGGGCGCCCACGCCCCTGCGTGCGCAGCCATGCCATTTCGACCAAATCACTCAAGACACGAGCGAATACAATCGACGGTGTGGGACATGCACGGGCGCGTCATGCGCCTGCAGCCATCCAGCAGCGCCCGCATCTGGGCTGTTCGCCTTACCGTCTGCATGCAATCTTCGGCTGTAAGATCCGCCTCAATTGGTCTGCATGACAGCTGGCAGCATTAGCTCCTGCCGCTCAGCCGGCCGCGAGACGCGCTGCTGAGCGGCGCGCCACTGACAGATGCCTTGGTACTGATGCAAGCGCAGCCGAGAATGCCGACCATTACAACATGCGAAGTGCCTGGGAAAACGCACAGCGCGGCTGAGATCAGACCAGGTAAGGAGTACAAGCGACAGCACGAGGCAAACCTCGGCCGGCAGGGATGGAGGGGCGCCGCCCAAACGGCGCCCGCCCCCTGCCCGCCGGCCGGTTGTGTACAGCCACCGGAGAGTGGGCTCTCAAATGCAAAGCTGCCCCGCGATTGGCGTTTTTGGGCGGAAGGGTTGCGGGCTGCGGCACCTGAATGGCGGCGCGCGCGGGGGGCGCGCGGCGGGGCGCTCCAAAGGCGGAGCGCGGGCCGCAGCGCCCGCAACCCCTCCGCGCGTCAAAGCAAGGGGGTGGGTGGGCCGCCGGCCCCGGGGGCCGGCGCCCCGCAAAATGAGCAAACTGAGCCGCGTTGGGCGCCAAGCGATTCGTGTTTCGAAACCGCAAACGTGTTGTGGGATGCATGCGTGTTAGTACAGGCGTGACGAGTGCCAGGCAGGGTGTGTTGTTTGGGATGTGAGTATGCGCGTGGGAGACCGGCCCCGAAACAGGCGGTGCTCTGTGCGCTTTTGCTCTCGTGACACGCCCTCAAAACCACACAATACAGGTGTGGCGAAGCTGGAAAGTCGCTCGCCTCGCGTGCAAGCGGTCAAATAGGCCCGGCCGCGCCCGCCGCGGCGCGCGCAATCGCGTGCGCCTGCGAACGTGGGGGGGCGCGACCGCGGCCCCGGGCCCGGGCGCTGGCGCAGGCGCGCGGCGGCGCCTGCTTGCAGCGCGTGCAGGCCCGATAGAGAGATCTGAGCGGACCGCGTGTGGCGGCGCGCCGCAACGGCAAGGGACGCTACCACGACCCACCCACGCGCTCGCTCTGGGCGCACTGGGGGTTCGGGCGGCGCGCCGCCCTGGGCGTCTCCCGCAAGGCCGCGCCGCTCATCGCCGGTCCGGATCAGACAGCACAAGGACTCACACAGGCAGTAGGCTGGGGCAAAACGGCCTCGAAATTGCGGTCGTATCAGGACACAATGGGGACAGGGCCGGGGGGCGCTGCTCATAGGGTTGATTTCCGGGCGCCCAGCGGGGGGTGCCCACGGCAGGGTGCCCCGGGCGCGCGCGGCGCCGGCCAAGGGGGCGGCGGGCGCGCCAGCGGGGCTGCCACTTACGCGGGCCCAGCGGCGGTCCGCGGCAAGGCCGCCGCGACACACCCGGTGGTTATGAGGGAGTCAGGGATAGTCAACGCCCAGACCCCTGCGGCGCCCGTGCAGGGGGGCCCCAAGCACCTCGGGGAGGCCCCACGGCCAAGGGGTGTCGGGTGTCGCCACGCCGCGGGTGCGCGTCGGGCGGTCAGACATAGTATTGAGTGTGGCAAGCAAAGGGCTCGAGCGCGTGCTGCTTGCCGCATGCGCGCTGCTGTTGCTGCTGCTGCTGCATAGGTTGCGGAGCCAGCTGCGCCGCAGGCTGCGGGGGCGGCCCAAGAGGCAACTTTGCGCCGTCAGTAGGCGCTGCGCCCGCCGCCCTGCCAAAGGGCGTGCGCACGCGCCCCAGGTCGTGCCGCGGCGGGTCGGAGGCGGACGCCGGCAGCGCAAAGGGCGCCGTGCCCGCCGCCGCCTCAGAGCCAGCGTCGGACAGGCGTTCCTCGTCCTCTGACCCGGAGCCAGACGCGCAGCAGCCGTTCTCCAGGCCTTCCTCGAGCGCCGCGGCCGCCGACAGCGAGCATGGCATCAGCGGGTCCGGTGACGCAAGCACCAGGCTAGCTGCGTCCACGCGCGCGCCGCCCGGCGCGGCCGCGCTGCGCGGCGCCGGGCGGCCCCCGGCGCGCAGGAAGGACTCGCCGGTGGAGTCGAGCTCGCGGAGGGCCTGGAGGTTTGTGTGAGACGCGTTGTACGCCGAGCGCGTCCAGCTGCGGTCGTGCGCCCAGGGGTTTGCGGCGCCCGACCGCACGGGCGGGCTCACGCCGAGGTAGGTCACCGTCGGGGTGCGCGCGCAGCAGGGCTGCGCGCGGTCGCGTGCGCGGGGCGAGGGCGGGAGCAGGGGTGAGTTGCGGGTGGGTTCGGCGGGGCTGGCAGCGCGGCGCCGCGCTGGCGCCAGACCCGACAACGCGCGTCCACCGCTCCAAAGGCGGCGCCTGGACCCCATGCCACGAAGCGACGAGCAACGTGATTACTCGCGTATAAACAAAGTTGCAATCATGCCGAGGGCGGCATCATCGCAGCACGGAGCCAGAGCCCGGCAGGGGGCAGCGTTGAGGCACCGACCTGGACGAGCAGTGCCTGCAGCTCGCTCTGACAGGACAACTCGGACGCCACACTCCAAGCATCGCTGCGAGTGAGGCAGGGTTGGCGCGCTGCTGATGAGCTCGGGCTGCCGTGTCCGGGGCCGCCAGCTGTTGTGCCTCAGCAGGGACTAGGCACGCGCAGGGAGTACGTGGCATCGCTGCATGGCCTTACCACTGGTGCGCCTCCATCGCGGGCGCGGGATTCGCGAGAGGCTAGCAGCGCTCACTATTACCAGCAGCATGCCATAGCTAGACTCCTCCAATGAGAAGACGTGTAAATTTCAGTACTACGCTGTGTGTTATGCATGAACGCTCTGAGTGCTTGTCTGGCGAGTCGGGGAACAAAGCTGGTCTTGTTCGTGCCAGCAGTGGAGCGGCGGCGTCTGGAACAGTGCTCGTGATAATGACAGCCACTTCCACTGTAAGCCAGCAGGTGGCTACCTATTACTGGTGGCGCCACGGTTCAAGTCTTCACACAGCTTGCATGAGAAGGGCATCGGCTCAAACCGCCGCCGATGCCCGAGAGCCGCTTGCTGTTGGGGCCGCTGCCCCTTTCTGTGAGCTCGGCAAAGCCAACATGCAGCCTTCCAGCAGTGGGCATTGACGAGGCATCGTTATGAATAGCCGCAGAAGTAAAAGGGGGCGTGAAGCGCCCCGATCGAGGGGGTCGCCCACACAGTGCATGTGGGCGTTGCTGACACATGCGCGCACGCTGCACGACCTGCACACACCTGCCACGGTACCAAACCCCGTCGCTGTGTGTGGAAACGAAACTGCCCGGAAGTGATCATGCAACGGCAGGAGGAGCAATCATTGGGTCGCAAAGGCTCTCAGTTTCAAGCGAGAGAACAATACACCCTTGAGTGCTTTGCCTTCTGGCATTCGCCTCCCAGCTATTTGTCCCGCTAACTGAAGGGTGACACGTCTACCAAACTCTGGCACTTGGGTTTGAAGGCGAATTGCACACACAGTGTCCAAGCGTGCTCCAAGCGTGCTGTGGTCAAGTGACAACCGGCAGCGTGTCGTACAGGTGCACGGGGAAAAATTGGCAGGGGCCACCGCCCCCCCCCCCCCCCTTGAGGTTTGCAAGGCGTCAGACGACGATTTCAATCAACTGCCAGCGAGAACATGTGTGAAATGCTGCTCTCAGCAAGTGAGTGCTGCTCACTTGCAATCATGTGATCCCATGAAGAGCTGCATGCTGACTGTGCGCTTGTGCGCCTCAGTGGCACATACTGCATGTGGCATGAAAAGGAGCTTTGTGTGCGTGTATGTGTGGGCACGTGCGTGTGTTTGTGTGTGTGAGATTATGTGCATGCGCATGCGTCCTGCATATCCCGTATGAGTTGCAACTCATAAGCACGATTGCAAGCACACGCGACGAGGCCTTCCCACAAATTTGCGCACCTCTCGCTGGCCGATGCGCTGCGGCAATCACGTTCTTTCGCGAACCAACGGCTGCACGCGGCAAGCACGGCTGCTGTGCGAAACGGCGATGTCACTGCAGGAAGGGTGCTTGCCTGTGACCTCCAGGGTGAGCGCAGGCTGCCGCCGGCGGATTTGCAGCACGTGGATGCATGCATTTGTCAACCACACCACTGACTATCACGGCGGCAACACCACCCCCCGGTACCCGTACCCACCCCGGCCATGGCCTGAATGCGGTTGCCTGCGTGCGCACGTGCACACGACCACCCGTACATCAGCATGAATCCACACATACACAAACGCACACGCGGACACATCCCAACCCAAGCACAAACGATCAGCTGGTGTACAGTACAAGCCAAAGCCGCGTGCGTGTGCCGACTAATGGGGTGGTCACACCGCGTGAGCGCTCACACTGTGGCTGAGCACGCTGTTATCCTTTTTTGCCAGGCACAAGTATACCTCCACTACCATTGAGTCGTAGTTGGCCGTCACCGTCTTTCAGGCGTGAAGTAGCAAGTGTGCGGCAAGCAGCAGAGTGCTCGAAGCGAGTGGGTTAAAGGGCCGTTTGTGAATCCTGGGGTGGGTTGCCGTTTGCAAGGCAAGCCACTCAGAAATTCCGGTCAACAGCTCCCTCAGTCCCGCGCTCGCCATTGACTGGGACGCCCCGTGCTGTCCCCGCGGCACAGCAGCCTGGCAGCTGTTTCTGGACGTAAGGCTGACGTATATTTCATGCATATATCAGTTGTTGGGGAGGGCGGAGCTTGTACAGCCGCAAGAGTGCCGCCAATTTTCGGGTGTCAAGTGATGGCGCACCGGGTGTTCAGGCCTAGGACCCCAACGATATGTGCCGCGTAGGGCCAATAGCACGTGGTCTTGAGCATGTCACCGGCCAATCCACACTTTGGGCACAGGCGCTCTCTCACTGCGGTCACCCAACCTCCGTCCCTTACGCTAGCACTCGCCACATGGCCAGAGGAGGTGGGGCAGTCGAAACCTGCCGTTCTTGCTCTGTGCTACGCGCGTTACTTCCCAAATACTAGGAGTATCCATCTCGGCGTTACCTAACCCCAGCAAAAATGAGTCCACGCACAGTGGCTGCCTTGCTGGTATTGCTGGGTGAGTGAGAATGTTGCAGCTGACCATTCAATTCAAGGGATGGGATGCTGTTAATACCCAATGTCAGCTTGTGCACTTGTGTGCACATGGTGATTTGCTGCACCTGGAGGGTTTGACGGGGCACATGGCGGCTGATTGAGGCAGCGTCACTTGGTGTGACTGAGCGCGCACAATTCAGTCTCGCACTATTGCGCGGACTCAGGGAGGGACCGCCATCCATACGCAAACGCATCAAAGCGCTGGCCTCCCCTCGCTCGCTTTCCCAACGCCCTGCCTACGCAGCCGTCAGCAGCGCGGCCGCCGCACGGCTTGGCCCACAGGCGGCTTCCCCCAGCCCGAAGCCTGCCGCCTCACCTGCACCCAAGAAGGCGGCGCCCAAGGCCGCCGTCTCGCCTGTGCCCGCGGCGCCCAAGAAGGACGCCCCTGCGCCGAAGAAGGACGCCCCCGCGCCCAGCCCCGCCACCAAGGCCCCGGCTGCTGCAGGTGAGCCTGCCGCGGCTCCCTCGCCGCCGACGGCCAGGCTCAGGGGTCCACTGCCTGCTGAACACAGCCGAAGTAAGCCATAGGGTAAGGCGCATTTCCAACGGTCTGGGGTGTGACGCCAAAGGCCTCTGCACGTATGGGCCGCCCTGCCTCCTCCCTGCTGTGGGCCTTGTAACCACCCTTGCTCTTGCTCAACCTCTGGGCGCTGCCCACTTGCACCATGCAGACGCTGCGGCCCCCGTTAAGGACGTCGCCGCAGCCCCGAAGGACGCCGCCGCAGCCCCGAAGGGCGCTGCCGCCGCAGCCCCCAAGGCAGGCGCCGACGCGGCCGCCCCGGCCAAGGGAGCACCCGCGAAGACCCCCGCCGCAGCAGACACCAAGGCCAGCGACAAGGATGCCCCTGCTGCGGGTGGTGATCTTGCGGACCTTGGCATTGCTTCGGACAGCGAAGAGCTTGGTGGGTGGCGGAAACCAGGCTGAACAGGCGCGGCCAGCAGCGAGTGTGTGACCCTGCCGTGGTGAAACGCTTCATGTGTGCGGAGATGTGTTGAGTTGTTGGGAGGGGAGTGCTCCTGAGTTCGACATGCCTTGTACGGGTCTGGAATAATCAGATGGTGTTGAGCGCCCTGCAAAAACTGGGAGTGTCACAGCTGCCGTGCCCTGGGCCAGCAACATCTGCGTATTATGCACCAGCCTCCACTTGCCTGCACAGTCTCTCCCTTGGATAGATTGCGTGCTCACCTTGCACTGCCGCTTCCATGGGGGGACATCCCTCCTGCTGTGCCGCTCTGGCCACATCCACTGCCACAAGCAAGCACTAATGGCCCTTGCCAGTGCTGCCCATGTTCTCTGGTTGTGGATCCATCCAAAGCGACGCGCTGGCGATGCCTCAACGCCAACCTATTGCACACACCACATCCACACCCGTGTCATTGGCCCTGCAGATGCTGTTGAGCTGGTGCCAGATGTCCCCACGGCTGCCGTCTCGCCTGTGCCCGCGGCGCCCAAGAAGGACGCCGCCGCGCCCAGCCCCGCCCCTAAGGCCCCGGCTGCTGCAGGTGAGCCTGCCGCGGCTCCCTCGCCGCCGACGGCCAGGCTCAGGGGTCAACTGCCTGCCGAACACAGCCGAAGTAAGCCAGAGGGTAAGGCGCATTTCCGATGGCCTGGGGTGTGACTCCAAAGGCCTCTGCACGTATGGGCCGCCCTGCCTCCTCCCTGCTGTGGGCCTTGTTTCCACCCTTGCTCTCGCTCCACCTCTGGGCGCTGCCCACTTGCACCATGCAGACGCTGCGGCCCCCGCTAAGGACGCCGCCGCAGCCCCGAAGGGCGCCGCTGCCGCAGCCCCCAAGGGCGCTGCCGCCGCAGCCCCCAAGGCAGGCGCCGACGCGGCCGCCCCGGCCAAGGGAGCACCCGCAAAGAGCCCCGCCGCAGCAGACGCCAAGGCCGGCGACAAGGACGCCCCTGATGCGGGCGGTGATCTTGCGGACCTTGGCATTGCTTCGGACATCGAAGAGCTGGGTGAGTGGCGGGAACCAGGCAGAGCAGGCGCGGCCAGCACCGAGTGTGTGACCTGCCGTGGTGAAACGCTTCATGTGTGAAGATGTGTTGAGTTGTCGCGAGGGGAGTGCTCCTGAGTTCGACATGCCTTGTACGGGTCTGGAATAATCAGATGGTGTTGAGCGCCCTGCACAAACTGAGGAGTGACACAGCTGCTGTGCCCTGGGCTGGCAACATTTGCGAATTGTGCACCAGCCCCCACTTGCCTACACAGTCTCCTCCCCCAGATAGACTGCTTGCTTACCTTGCATTTCCGCTTCCATGGCTGGACATACCTCATGCTGTGGCGCCCTGGCCACGTCCACTGCCACAAGCGAACACGCCGGCTCACACATGGCCCTTGCCAGTGCCGCCCATGTGCTCACAAGGTGGACACTTCCAACGCAACGCCCTCACGTTGCCATAACTTGAGCCTCCTTGACACACCACATTCACACCCTCGCCATTGGCCCTGCAGATGAAGTCGAGCTAGAGCCTGATGAGGTCAAGGGCTTCCCCGGGTGGGCCCCCTGCTGCAAGCCGCCCAAGACGCCGGCTGCAGCTCCCGCCGACAAGCCCGCAGCCACGGCCACGGCTGCCCCGGCCTCCCCGGCGGCCAAGCCCTGAGCCATCCCGCCGCCCGCGCTGGCAGGTTGGGCCTGCGGCGCGCTCGAGCTGCAGGGGCGCGGGGCGCCGGGCCCTGTGAGTGGTGCCTACGACTTTCGTTGGCGGCTGCCCGGTCCGTGCTGCACACCTGACTGTCTTCGATGCCAAGATGCATTTATGCAAGATGAGATGTGCATGATTGGATGATTTGTGGGCAGGACAGACCATGACCTCTGTCTCCTGATGCTGTCAACCCGCTTGGATCAACGGCGTGCTGGTCAATGCCGATGCACTATGGTCACCTATGCAATGTGATGATCCCAAGCCCTTGAAATGCACCGGGCATTGCTGCCGCAAGAAAGAAGTAGCGCGCGCACCTTGCCGGGCACTCGCCACACTATCGCCCAACCACCATTGTTGCAACTCTCTTTCGCACAAGCTGTCACCTCCTCCCTTGCTCCCGTTGCCACCGGTGACGCGGCAGCCAGGGCATCGCCATTAAATGTTATGTCATATGCATGTGTGATCCTCTATGACCTGGGAGAAGTTGCAAGTATTTGCCCCAACCCGCGTGCTTGTGCACACGGTGTGCGTCATTCCGCCCCTGCCTGGAATGTGCACACATCAAACGCTCTTGCGATGCGGGGTTTCCACCCTCAAACCTGCGGTTCCAGATCATGCAGGCCTAGGTATCACGCCTGAACTTGGAGAATGCTTGCTCAGTAGGCAACGACTGGATGCGTGCATTCGCCCAAAGTTTGTTTGGGATGCCTCAAACACCCAAGCAGGGTGTGACCCATCATGTAAGCATGCGCAGGTGCTGGTGTGGCTGCCCCAAGCAGGTAGATGCGATCGCGCCTTATTGTTGGTGACAATGTAATATTGAGGTGTGATGCAAGGGTAAAGGTACACAGAGGTGAAACACGCACAATTGATGTAAATTACCCTACGGACGCCAAGAAAGCGACGGCTGGAAAAAGATTGATGGCGCGCTTTAGCATGGCTGGCGCCCCTCAGAACGCTGCGCAGACCCTGCCTAACTCACTCTCAAAACATCGCCAGAAGCATGCTGCAAACAAACGCAAGAAAAGGTTTGCTTTCGTTGCTGGGCAAAGTTCTGCATAGGGTGATCGAAAATGTTTTGAATTCACTTGCAGCGTCTGCATGCACCCCTACCTTTACGCCAATGACTGCACCCATGATGAGTTTTTGCAAGTCGCCACAGCGATTGCTGTTTGCCTGCCATCCACTAGGATTAAAAAATTGGTCAAGCATCCATAGCACTGCAATGCTTGGTGGCCAAGAGCAGGTTTGTCGTTGTAGCGGCAGCCTTGGACTCAGCACCGATGATGCAGTAACCGTGGACTGCACAACACGACTGGGGTTTGTGTGCAACGCCGCATCCCCAGCCGTATACAGGGCTCAGCCGGTTGCAAAGTCCACAAGGTATGCATACTCAAGCTCAGTGCCTCAAGGTACAGCTGCAAAAGCAGATCAATGATTGTCGCGCCCAGCCAGCGCCCCTGAGCAATGGGCGCCCGGACTGGTCACAGCTGTCACAGCGTAGCTGGTGCATGCGCGCCACGTAGAGGGAGGCCCGCCCGGGCCGAGCCTGTGCTGCTCTCGCTCTGCCCAAGCGCACTGCCTCTATCCAAAGCTGCTGTGTCCATCCATCTCTAAGCATGTGCAAGGGGCCCTCTGCTACTGGCACCACGCCGGGCATGCGTGCACCAGGACTGCCATAGGTGACCTCGGGATGTGGAAGCTTACAGCGGCCTGGGCCGCCTTGGGGTACCACAGATCCAATGAGGGAACCGGCAGCAATGCTGCCGGCATGAGCGCAGGACCACAGTCCGCACCCGCCTAGCTGCTAGGTGGGCAGCTGCGCGGAGCCCATCAGTCCAGACCCTCAACGTGCTTGACGTGATGTCCCAGACACTGTCCATTTGCTGCAGCTCTTGATGCCTGAACCACTCTCTGCTGCCTCTGCACTTGAGACGTGTAACTGACCGAAGGCGTGCAACTGGCCCCGCATAAAGGCGTTCGCAAGGAAAGTCCAGTGCAGCAGGCAGGGCGGGACCGGAATTACACTGCGTGACAGCTAGTAGTGATCGATTGACAGCAAGGTTCAGGGCGCAGCAACCGCGCAGGCAACAAGTGAGCGAGCAGAATTCCTGTGCAAGTACTTGGGTTAGTGAGCAGGTAGCTGCGACTTGCGAAAATCCTCCGAAAAGAAGGGCGAATACAGGCGCTGCAAAAGCGCGCGACCGCCTGCATCCCTCCGCGCATGTTGCATGCATCCATCATCCATGTGTGGCATAGCATACATCCCACCCCGGCATATCCACCCTTGTATGCATACGTCCGTCATCACCCATCCATGTGCATCATAAGGTGACATAGCTCATAATCCATGCATGCATCCACACTGGGTTGGAGCAACTTCAGGCAGAGGCAACAAAAGCAACAAAGAAGATTGGGCAAGGTCTGTGCAGGTTGATCCTGATTGCGTACGCACAAAGAGTTCAGTCATGTGCGCACACACACATGCAACAGCGCGTGAGCTGCAAAGGCCAGGCGCGGCTTGGGATGTGCACTCCACCGGGATTGGACTGGTGCACGCCGCAGTGTCTGTGCGTGCCGCAATCTTGACAAGTCAACCCCAGGCATTTGAACAAAGAAAGAGGTCGTTCAAAAGATCAGTTGCTAGTTGTGGCCGCAAGGGCTGTGTGAAAAGGTGCACACGCGCCTCCACACCCTTGACCAGGAGTGATGCTGCTTAGCAGGGGCAGCAGACGGCCTGGATCTAGCTTTATCCCCCGGTGGCAGCTGGGGTACTCCATCAGCGAGCAACCCAAAATATAGAGTGCATCGCTGGGATCAGGTGGAGCCTAGGGGGGCTTGCCCACTCTGGCGTGCGGCTCGCTGCCCACTCGTCGCACCCGGGGGGCCACACCAGCCTCTGCGCTTCACTTCATCTCTACTCCACAGTCTTGGCAGCCTTGGGGGAATCGCTGGCGACGCTGGCAGCGGGCGTCCTGGAGTACTTGCGCACAGGCTCAACGTGCTCCACCGAGCCGCCGCCCTCCATGGACTGCAGCTTGGCGCAGGCAGTGACCGCATCCTGGACGCACACATACACCCACTGGCGGCCAAGGTTGGCGATGAAGCCGGCGCGCTGGAGCGTGCGCAGCACATCGTCATTGGGGTTGGAGAGGACCTGTTATTGAGGGAGCACGACAGATGCTGTGTTAGGTTAGCTCAAAAACCAAGTGAACATCTTGTGTGGCACGGCCAGACTTGCACTGGCATGCAAAGATTGCCTTGTTAGGAAGCAGCCTCTTGTGGCACACCAGCGCGGGGCGGGCACACCCCCAGGAGGGCTTTGGAAGACAAAAGTGACCTCACCACTTCCGCCATGTTCTTGATGTGGGGCAAACCCGACCCCAGACAATCCCCCCAAATCACAACCCACCAGCTGGATGTCGCGCTTGTTGTAGTCCCTCAGCTGCTCCTCCAGGAATGCCACGCCGGTCGCATCGATCTTGGTGACAGGGGACAGCTCCAGGATGACATAGTTCAGCTTCTCCAGGCCATTTGCCTTGGCCACCCTGGCAGCATCAACGGGGAGCGGGCCAGCATGCACAGGGAAAAGAGGGTCAGCAGGTGCGGCTGAAAGGCTCTTTGCCACCGCGGCAGGTGGAGGAGGGCCAGCGGCGCCGCCGCATCACAGCAGGTTTGTCAAGGCAGCTTGCGGCGGCGTGGTGCGGAGCAGTTGGGGATGGCCCCGCCACGCGCAAGGTTCAACACACTAGCAGAGCCGCACTAAGCCCATGGTCATGCCACCATCCATCTCCTGCCGGCTGTGAGCAGCGCGGCGATCAGCTGCCCCTTGCAATTCCAGTGAAATTTCTACGTGAGAGTCGATCACTCACTCGAGGCCCTCCTCCTCGTAGTCCTCAAGCTTGTCCTGGAAGTACGAAGCGTTGGCAAAGTAGACGGGGGCGTCCAGGCGCACGATCACGATGCCGGGGACGACCTTGGCGTCGGCGTACTGCTCAATGGACCTTCGAGATAAGGGTTTGACGAGAGAGAGGGAGGGTACGTCCAAGTCTGGTTGTGGTGTGTCGAACCGCCTGGGTTGCGCGCTCTGACCAGCCCTGAGCTGATATCGGGCGTTCAGCAGGGGGTGGCACAGGGACTTACGGCTGGGCATAGCGAGGCACAGCCAAGACAGGTGGGTGTATAACAGCCAAGGCAGGTGGCTGTTTTACACCTAGAAACACGCATGCGAGAGCAATACGCATGCCCGCGCACCTGTAGACGGACGAGTTGTTGACTTGGCCGAGGACGGCCATGTGGGGGAACGCTGTCTCAAAGATCACGATAAGCAGCGCGAGGCCGATGGAGATACCCAGGCCCAGCTCCACGCCGAGGAAGGCGGTGCCGATGAAGGCGACGAGCCACACGATGAAGTCGCGCACGTGGGTCTTGAACAGGTGGTAGGCCACGCCGAACTCGATGAGCTGGCAAACACCCACGATGATAATTGCGCCGATGACGTTGTAGGGCAGCTTGGAGAACACTGCGGGGGTGAGGGAAAATCCGAGGATTAGTGGCTAGGGTTCAAACGGCAGGTGCAGCAGCACAGCCCTGGGTCGAGAGGGCATGCACCCGGCTGCACATGACATATACTCAGCCCATGGGACGGGGGAGCACAGCCTAGGGCTGGTTGAAGCTGTCCGGCATGACAGGCCAAAAGCAACCCTGCCACCAATCACCTGGCGTGAGGAAGAGCAGCACAAACATGACCACGATGGACGTAATGAAGCCTGCCAGCTGGGTCTTGGCACCGCTCGCGTTGTTGACGGCCGAGCGCGAGAAAGAGCCGGTGGTGGTGTAGCAGGAGAACATGGCACCCGCAAAGTTGGCCAGGCCAAGGCCGATGATCTCACGGTTGTACTGCAGGCGGTAGCCGTTCTTGCGGGCCAGGGCCCTGCGGGTGGTGGCGGCATGGGAGAGGGGTCAGGTGTGTGGGGCTGAGGGCAGACATTTGGAGTCAAAAGCTGAGAGCAAGGAGGGCCCAGCCATTGACAAGTCGGGAATGGGGCGAGCGCAGTTGGGACTCAGGGAAGCGTCCACAAGAGCCGAGCCACTTTGCTGCTCAGCTGCTATTGGCCACTCTGCCAACTGGCTCTACAGGCCCCCTGCGCCACAAAACTAGCAATGCTACTGGCAGTCCACCCAGACTCAATGAAAGTGTGGCCACACACCTAGCGATGGACGTTGACTCCAGCAGGTCGACAACCATCACCAGGCCAGCCAGGCGCAGCAGAGAGGGGGCGTCCTCGATCGGCAGCCACTTGTTGGCGGTGAATGGTGGCATGCCAGCGGGGATGGTGCCGACAATCTTGATCAGTTTACTGACATTCTTGCCGCCGCCCACCACCACAATGATGCCTGGTTTTTCCGGAAGGGGGGCGGAGTTTCAAGGGCGTGGTGAGAGGTGGGTGTGTCGTGAGGTGACGGGGTCCCTAGTATCAAAGTAGGGCACACGGTTCGGTGTACAATGCGGCTGCCCGGGCGCAGAGGGTAGACCTATGCCGCCTGCCCCATGCTCCGTCGTGTGCAGATGTTCAGAAGGGCGCAGCTTACCTATGATGCAGGCTGAGATGGGGCCCAGGGCACCCAGCAGGAAGAGCTTCGGCTTCCACTTGCCGATAAAGCGGAGGGCCACCAGCCAAACAATCATGAGAATGCCCATCGTGAACTCCTGCAAGAGGAAGGGGGGGAGCGATTGGTCGAGAGGGAGAGATCCAGTTGCAAGTGCAAGCGAAACAACTGCACACCGGTGGCGGCGCTGAACCATGCGTATGTAACCAAGGGCGGACAGTTCCTGCACTGGGCTTTAGGGTTGACGATGGCAGCCGCCGACAACCCACCTGCCACACAAAGTCAGCGCGGTTGTCGTAGAGCACCTTGATGTTCTCCTGGAGCGTGTCCTTGCGGGGGACGCTGTACCCCAGGATGTACTTCACCTGGTGGGACGGATGGCAGGGTGCGCAGGGGATTTACATAAGAGCTGCAGTGCGGGGTCTGAAGGGTTTGCGACCTTCATGCCACTGCGGCCAGGATGGTCGCCACAGCAACAGGCTGCGTGCAACTCTGGGACTGAAACCCACCTGGCTGCTGGCGATGATGAAGGCGGCGCCACTGGTGAAGCCCGTGATAACCGCGTGGGACAGGAAGCGGATCTGAGAGAGGCGCGGGCACCGCCAGGGCCAGGCAAAAGGGTGTCAGTTTGCGGAATAAAAGAGGCTTGAGCATCCAGTGGGTATTGATCATCATTGGTAGCGGATTGGTGTGGAGCAGGGAGCAGGCCACCCCCGGGAGCCCCTGTACAGATCCAGTGTGTTTGGCACCTCACCAGCCAGCCCATGCGCAGGAGGCCAACGGCAGTGTACATCAGGGACACCACAAACGCCAGCTGAATGACCTGTCATGGCAATGAACGCGGCGCATTAGAGAGAGAGAGAGAGAGAGAGAGACTACGCTGACGCCTCACGCGGCTAAAAGCCACGCTGCAAGCGGCGCCGCGTCGGGTTAAGAGGGGTGTGTGTGGTGAGCCACACCCCCCACCATCGGGGGTCAAGGGGGGGGCACTTTCACGTGACCCCGCGCCCCTACGCGGCGCATTCAGGGGGTGCTGTTTAGAGGCGTTTCGACAAGTGGCAGGAAGTAAAGGTGGAGGTGCTGGTGCTCGCACAGCTCGGCGTTGGTTGCGGGACGGAGCAAGCATGCCAGCCCCACACCTTCCCCAATCCCCACCCCTGACCCCCACCCGCGCCAAAAACAAAAATAAAAGCAGCCGATTTGGGGCGCATCAACTCAGCAACAACCTCGGCCAGCAGTGGCCAGCAGACACCAGCGTGCCTCTTACAACTACCAGCACCACAAACAGGCAGGAGGGGAGGAAACACCGACAGGGGTACCGCGTCACCAACCTTCGTGTTGTAGGTCTCCTGGATTGAGGCCCACAGGGGGCTCAGTGGAGGCACTGACGGGTCCAGCCAGGACGAGTACTCAACCATGTTCTGCACACCTGAGCTCATACAAAGGGTTGAGTGGCCCCAAGGGGTGTGATGGGGGTAAGGCGTGGGTGAACTCCAGCTAGGGGGCTGGCCTTCAGAGTTCATTTGCACAGGCACACAGGAGGGCTGGGTTCCTACAGCCCCAATGTCTTGCCCAGCAAGACATTGGGGCTGTAGGAACCCAGCCCTCCTGTGTGCCTGTGCAAATGAACCACCTGCACCCTCGCCAGTACCTACCGTTTGCGATCAGCAGGGACGTGACAGCCACGGGGCCGGTGCCGAGCTGCTTGCTGGAGCCGAACAGTGAGTAGACGAGGACAGGCACGAACGCGCCGTACAGGCCATACACTGGGGGCACACCTGCAGACACGGCACATAATGGAGTGGCAGGTCAGGCACCAGCAGGGGACCTTGGAAACCAGGAGACCCATGGGATGCCGCATGTTGGCGGATCAAGGCATTTCTGTGCTCTATACACCGACGCAGCAGTGTCGCGGCTGTGGTACAGGGGTGAGGGGAGGTGTAGCTGCGCAGTCTTACCGGCGAGGATGGCGTAGCTCATGCCCTGGGGCACCACCATGAAGCCCACAGTCACACCCGCCAGCACATCCCACTGCACACAGGGGTGTATAGAGGAGGATGCACCCGGGGGCAGGGGCAGCAACGTGAGGCGCGTACAGAGGGTGGGCAGAGTGAACAGTGAGAGCACACAACCAACACAGATGACCACAAGCAGCTGGGTGGGGGCTAGCCGTGGGCAAGCGGCAGGACACATTCGGGGCCAGTAGGCAGTGATGCGTACCACCAGGTACTCCTTGATCTTGTAGGTTCGCAGCCAGCCCAGGAACGGCAGGACTATGGCCAGCTTGTCAAACCAGGATAGTTTGCCAGCCGACTCCTTGGCACTGGGGCGAGCGAGCGCAGCGATGGTCAGGCGGTCAGGTGGTCAGGGTTTCAATGCACCAGTGAGGACCGCAGCCACTGGGTGTGGAGCAAAAGCGCACGGCCACGATCCGATGCGGCATTGCCGCATGGGCTGGCGGCAGCACGGCAGCCCACACAGTACATACAAAGGTTTGCAGGCAGCCACTGCACATGATGCCATGTGCACCGCCCGCACTCCACGCTGTGTAGCGTGGCGGCGGCTCCGCTGCCCTGGCGGGCTCACATTTTTGTCCTCCTCTTGAAGTTGTCCACCAGGTCGCTCCATTCGTCCACGGGTGACAACCGCGTGTCGCGAGCGTCCGGATGAGGGAAGGGCGCACTCCCACTGCGCGACAGTCCGCTCTTGTCGGCAGTCACGGTCGCCCGCTCGCGAGGAAAACCTGGCAGGTCGACCATACTTCCTACACCGCGGCGAGGTCAACCTGCAGCACTGCAACGTACGTAATGATTGGCAAGGCCCACGCCGACGGTGTAAGCGTCGTATTAGTGACTGTATATGAGTGAATGGCTCTTGATTCAACATCGGCGGCGGTGATCCCGTTGGGTGAGTGTTCTCACTCGCCCCCAAGCCTCGGCGAGAGCCTCTCGTGATGTTGCGGTGACCCGTTCTCCGACGTGCACCCCTTATTCAGACTTGCAGCCCGTAACGACAGGATAGTTAAGTCCCACCAGACGATCAACCTGCATTGACACAGTCAACTGCGGCCGCACCCAAGACACCGTCCGAACCCTTTCGTAGCAATGAAGGCCTCAACTGCCGCCGTGGCCCTCGTGGCCCTCCTGGCCATCTCCTGCATTGCGGAGGCTGCTGCCAGTGAGCTTTGCACCTGCGTGCACCGGCGGGCACCCATTGGGGCGGACCCGCGGTTGTGGCACCCATGTGGCGGCGGCTGGTTACGCTTTTGGGTTGAGCTCTGTTCGCAAGGCACCTGGGTTGGTGTTTGCCTGCTGCACTACTGTCCAACTGCTAGCAGGCACACGCCATGATCCGTGATCGGCCATTGAGTGCGTCCGGTGGCGGCTACGGCACCCCTCCTCACCCCCCCCCCTCACACACCGCTGTCGCACCCTCACCTGCAGACCGCCAGCTGATGCAGCCTAAGCCGGCCCCGAAGATCGGGTTCTGCCGCACCAGCGCCTATGTGAGCGAGCAGATTGGGCCCGTGTGTAGGGCTCGCCAGTGTGGGGTCTCGGCTGTGTGCAGCTGTAACCTGGCAGCCGCTGTCACTCCACTGACCTCACCAGCTGGGGCACGACAACATCCCACAACTTGGTTGCCGTGCAGTCTAGCCGGTCATTTCCGTGCTGTAATACAGAGCAGCTGGCCAGGGCCAGCCGTCTGCAACTCCACCTGCAGGCATGTCATTGATCTTTTTGATGCCAGCTGCCCAGTACATGTTCCCACCCAGATGAGCACCATCCAAATTGCATACCCACAGACTGTGGACTGCACGAAGACTGAGGGCATCAAGCGCAAGATGTTCGCTATCTGTGGCAAGGGTGTCATCCGCGCTGTTGGCAAGGTGAGGGGGCATACCTCACTGCCCTTCACAGAATATGGTGCTGGGCCCCTGCGGGAACTGGCCAGAGCCAATCAAGCAAGGACGTGTTGCGCTGGGGTTGCACTGCATGTATTTCGTCTCCCACTGTCATCACGCTGTCACCCACACCCTCCCCCTCATCCGCGCTCTACGCTGCTCATCCCATATCCCTCACACCCGCAGTACGTCCCTAACCGCAACGGCTGCGCGTGCTCAGTGGTTCAGAAGGTCGACACCTCCGATGCGTGGGATGCGTTCCAGGCCTGCCAGGAGACCAAGGGCAAGGATGACTTTGCGCTTCTGCAGAACACCCGCTGCAAGGCTGGGCAGGCCAAGGGCCCCTGCTAGATTATCCACGCCTGCCGCGCTGATGGCTGGTTCTGTGCGCGCCTGGCAGTGGGTCATGGGTATCGACGGTCGCTCTGAACACGGGCTCCTTTGATGCTAGTTGGGGGCCTCATGCTCACTACCAACACGGCGGCTTTTGACCTCAAGTTGCCCACTCATTTATGACAATGCCCAATGGTATGATGCTGCGCGCATGTGGGGATGCATGGATAAACGTGGCACGGCTGCTGAACTCTTCCGTCATGCACCCTTGTTCAGCGCTCTGCTGCGCTCAAGGCTCTGGTTGTCAACCCATTACATGCCTGTTGTCAACCTGCATGCATGGCCATCTGCTACAACTGCCTGATCCAAGTATGTGCCAAGCAGTCTGACAGTGCGCCGCAAGCACTACAATGATTATTATGAATGCTGTATGTGCCACGAAGTTCCAAGTGCACTGCATGCACCACAAAGGTGATTGTTATGTTTGCATGCCAATGCCATGTGCAGGTCGCTGTACCTCGGGTAACACGCCATTTTGGTTCTCCACATCTGGCATCCCTCAGTAGAGAAGCAGCACTTTACGAATGGCAGGTTGCAACTAATCACACATGACCACATCGGAAGTGAAAGCAGCTTGAATGATCAGCGATCTCCCATGGGCAGATGGCTTTTGTTCAGCCTCCCACGCCTGTGACAGGCCCGTTCCTGCGCTCTTACGATGCTGTACTACGTGACCAATAGATCGGCAGGCCAGGCCGGGACATGTGGGGACTAATGGGGAATATTTTGTGTTGTTTATCTGTGCATGGTGCACTGCCGAACAGGGGGCTGGAAGCCATTGTCTGCATTTGATTGGTGCATGCAACAGCAGCAGTGACGTTGAGGAGTGCATCATGGCGCAAGCAGTTTGCCGCAGTATGTGTCTCATTGGCAGCCAGCACGGCTCGGCTGGCGCTTGTGGCAGTGCGCCAGCACAACTTGCTGGATGGTGAGACCGGGGGCCAGTCAGCTACAGTCTTCCCCCGCTACAGTGAACTCATCGGGGGTCGGCGGCACGTTCGCTATAGCCGGCTTGTTCGCTATCGCGAAAAGCGAAATTGGGCAGCTGCTGGTTTTGGGGGTAGCGGCGGCGTTCGCTGAAGGCAGGGTTTTTGCTATGGCGGGGTTCGCTGTAGCGGGGGAAGACGGTAATCACAACCGCCAGGGTTCTGAGAAGGGGGCGTCTGGTTTTTTGCAACAACTTATTATATCTCTATGCAGACAAGTTGATGTAAGGGTGACTTGAGACAAAGAGATATCACAATAATTTATCGATGTCAGCCCTCGTACGATCAATACTCAATTTGCCCAACTCAATGATGGCCCATGGGTGCGTGGCTGATCCTTGTGTGAGGCCACCCACCAAAGTTGTGCTAGAAACCAGTGCGACCACCACGTTTGGCAGTTGCCAGCCCTGCAGTTCTTTGCCCTGGTGTGTCCCTGGACAAGATGCCTGACTGTTGAGCATGCAGCTGGTGCAGGCTGCAATTCAAACCCACTCCCTGCGCACTCTGAGCAGGACAAGGTCAGTGCGCCATTGACCGGTTGGATGCGGGCAAAGTGGTCCTGAACGGCCCAGTGTGGCTTGATTCTCGGTGTTGAAGGTAGATGGAGTCGTCATGTGCAGGGCTGCTGCATGCGCGCGTGAGGGAACCGCCCTTTGGGCTGTGGCGTTGACCCTCTTGTCATTGCGTGGGCAACCCCAGCCGGTGGTCAGCTCCTGCCGACAACGTGCAGTACTTTGGGGTATCTATATGGGACGTTCAATGCAGAAGGCTGGCCGTGGTGCCGACAGGGGAGTGCGGGTTACGAAGTGACTTCCCATCGCCTCACGCCACGAAATATGAAGGCGCGCCTCGCGCGTCGTGCCAAATCGGTACCCTACCGTTGTTGATCCAGTCATTTCAAAAACTGCTGAGAAGCCATGAAGACCGCCGTCGTGCTGCTGCTTGGTGAGTTCATTCTGACTGTGGCAGATCTGGTCCATGGCCGATGTGTACAATGTCGCGTGCATTCCGGAATTCGGTGTTCCTTTACCACTGCCCGGACCTCAACCCAAACCCGCCCGCTCTAGCTCACATGGCTGCGGCGGCTGGGGTCCCAGCCACGTCACCCCGGCAGCAGCACCCATCTGGGCTGTTCCAGGCCGCGTCCATGCTTGTGGTCCATGCAGCAATCAGCGTCAGCTGGATAATATTGGATTTTTGATTAGCTCATGGCTTGCCATCATTGCCCTGCACGCAGTGGCCGCCGTGGCGCTGGCCGCCGCCGCCGACCCGGCGGTGTCCGCCACGACCCCTGCCTCAAAGCCTGATACGGCTGCCGCTGCCACCAAGCCGGCCCCCCCCGAGGCCACCCCCGCCGCGAAGCCTGCGACCGCCGCAGCTGCTGTGAAGCCTGCCACGGCTGCCACCGAGGTGCGGGACTCGTGGTGTCGCCAAGGAGGGGCCTCACTTGCTACTGCCGACCGCATGGAGATCTGCTGGCGCGTGCATTGGAGCGTGCCCTCACCACCTGGCTACATGTTAAACACCTGAGTCGCAGTTGGGGGCGTGAGGGCTCACGGCGTGAGGGCTCACGGCAGCTTCTGAGCATTTGTGCCAAAAATCGCCCTCCAGGTCAAGCCCGCTGCGTCCGCGGCGCCCGCCGCCAAGTCAGCCGCCGCTGCCCCTGCCGCCGCGGGCGCGGCCGCCGGCGCCGCCGCGGCCACCGCCGCCGCCGCGCCCAAGGCTGCTGACGCCAACGCCACTGCAGAGGGTGATGATCTGGCGTCCCTGGGCATCGCCACCGACGGCGCCCTGGGTGCGCGTCCCCGCAGCTGCTGCGGACGGCTGTGGGCATGCCCCCCCCCTCCGCACAATCAAGGCTGCGCTGTCCGTGTGAACGAGTCGAGTTGCGCGCATGCATTCAATGCTGCAGGGACGGTTCGCAGGTAATACGTGGACGTGCGATCCTCCGGCAGCTCAGTGGCCGCAATTGACTGGTTTTCAGCAGCATCTGTCTGCCGGGCTGCACTCATGTGACACCCCTTCCCCCCTATCGCAGATGCCTACGTGCCTAACACCGACGGCCTCGGCTCCGCTGTGACCCCCGGCCCTGCCGGCGGCGCCGCGCCGGACGCTGGTCCCTCCGCCGCCGCCGCCCCCGCCGCGGGCCCCGCTGGTGCGCCGGCCGCCGCCCCCGCCGCGTCGCCCAAGAGCAGCGCCGGCAAGGCGTCGGGCGTGGCGCTCAGCCTCCTCGCCGCGGGCGCGCTGGCGCTGGCTCTGTGACCGGCGCCTGGCAATATGGCCTTGGCAGCACGTGGCATGCAACCCATCCACAACGTGCAGCGGGGCAAGTGCAAGTTTTGACACACGCCTCATGAACGGGTTATGCATGCAAATGGCCCCAACTTTGAATTAAGTGTGCTGCAACTTTGCCCGTCCTCTGCAATGCAATGTCTATCTGCGAAGCTGTCTGCCATTAAGTGCTGCTTGACATGCTGATGTGTATTCCTCATGAAATGCATATGATGGTACAACCGTGTCCATATGCCCACACCGGGAGTTGCTTACACTGATGTTACAAGCAGCATGTTGAGCCATGCTTGGACTGTTGGCCAGTACGCGGAGGAGGAGGTGGCGGGGTGCTTGTGGTGGGTGATGTGGAGCGGGCTGACGATCGCCGCCTGAAGGCTGAGGGTGGATGGGGAAGGGGCTTCGCTTCGGAGGGCGCGGAGGGGTGGGGTTCAGTATGTAAGCGGCAGTGTCACCAGCAGCTCGACATATCTTTCCTTGCAGAAGCTGCCAACTCAGGCTGCGCAGACCTGGGTGGTTGTACTGACCTCCATGCTGCGCAACGCCGCGCATCCACCTGATGTCAGCACAGCTACCTGGTGTCAGCCTGCCTGATGTAAACTCTTTGCGCGCACCAGCAGCCAATCCTGGAGCGCTCCCCCTACATGCGATTTTGAACCCAACTTTTGTCGCATTTGCATGAGTTCCACGCAGTTGTAGATCACATCGGCGATTGTTGACCTCGCAAGTCTAAAATTTCTACTGCGCACAAAGAATCCTCAAGCGCAACACCTGACTATGTCTGTTGTGTTGAAGGTTCCTTGCTGAGCTGAAGTCACAAGCGCATGTAAAGCAGCAGCGCCGCGGCACAAGTTGCAGCTTATCTTAAGCTGTGCGGCGCGAGGCGAAGGGCTGGGTTTGTCGCAGGGGACCCCGGACTCGTAGCACGCTCGAACCGAACACGGCCCGCGACCGGCAGTGGGCGTTCCACTGGGAGCGGCAACCGCAGCAGCGGCGGGCGGGGGTGGAGCCCGTGTGGGCGCAGCTGCGTGATGGCAAGCCCTCAGCTGACGCGCCTCGACGCGATCCTGTCACTGGTTCAGGAGCAAGAAGAGCACAGGCGTGAGCAGGTGATACAAGAGCGCAGCATCTACTGTGGCGTGCGCCGGCCAGCTGCACGCCCGCTTCCGGCGGGCAGCTTCTGAGCAGGCGGGCCACCAGTCCCTACATAGCTACCCCATGCCAACGCGCCCACGCGCGTGCCAGGACATGCGCATCGCGGCGCTGACACAGCGACTGGCGGACTGGGAGAACCGGACTGCTGGGGAGCTAGCGCCGTTGTGGCAGCTCAAGGTTGGGGGAAAGGGGAGGGGCTCGTCAGGGCGGCCCCTGTGTTGGTTGGCAGTGGCCGCAGCCGTTGAAGGCGCGCACCACGCGCCTCTGCACATGTTGGGGCGTCCTGGGGCCATGGGCCATGGAGAGGCGCTCCTCGAGCCCACACAGGGGCGACCCAACGCTTGGGTATGTACCCCCATGCACATCCCGCGGAGCACACAAGATCGGGCCGTCGACGGTTGCTTCTCCGTCCCCTTTCCACAGAGCCAGCGCTCGCGCGCACATGCTCACGTGTCATGTCGCCCCTACATCTGCCCGCCCTCCCAAGGAGCGAGACGTGCCGCGCGAGCTGGACATGGCGCGCGCCGCCGTCGAGTCGCTGGTGCGCCAGGTGGCCACCCTCAACCGCGCGCAGCAGGCCGCCGCCGCCGACGCCGCGCGCGCCGCGGCGGCCGCGCAGCAGCGGTCGGACGAGGCGGCCGCGGCGGCCGCGGCGCTGCGGGCGGACACGGACGCGCTGCGGGCGGGGCTGGCGGAGGCGCGGGAGGGCGCAGCGCGGGAAGCGGAGGAGCTGCGGCGGCGGCTGGAGCAGCAGCTGGCGGCGCACAGAGCGGCGGTGGACGACGCGTTGCAGGTGGGGCATTCCTGCGAGGAGAACGGAGAAATTGGTCAAGGAATTGCACGCAGGGTCCCTGGGACGGCACCTGCACCTTGGTGCAGAGGCTGGGGTGTAAGGGGCCGCATGCACGGGGCGTTTCAAGTCTGTGGCGGCGCAGCGCACTGCAGCTTGTAACCTGTCACGGCTCAGGATGCTCGTTGCTGCCACCCCCTCGCGCGGCGTCCCCCAGTCCGTGGCGCGCGAGGCGCGTGCAGAGGCCGGCGGCGCGCGCGCCGACCTGGCTGCCGCAAGCGCCGCGGGGCTGCGGCAGCTGGAGGGGTGGGCGCGCGGGGAGATGCTGGCGGTCACGGGCAAGCTCAAGCACGTGGTGGCGTCGTGCGCGGCGCAGCAGGAGCAGGTGCGGCCGAATGGGGCGTGCATCACCAAGGTTGATGCGCCGCAGCCTCTGGGCCTGCGCCCGTGCATCGATGCATGAGGCGCAGCGATGCAGGTCGCCCAGCGATGCAGGCGATGCAGTTGGAATTGGACCTGAAAGGTTTGAAGCGGAAGGGTCCATGCGCCCCTCCTGATGCCTGGTTTCTGGCGCGCTTGTCTGGGCCCCCGCCAACGCTCGCACAGGCGCGGTTGCAGTTTGATGCGCTGCAGCAGCAGTGGGAGGGCGCGTCGGCGGCGGTCGACGCTTTGAAGGCAGAGGGGCGGCGGCTCAAGCGCCACCTGGCGCGCATGGAGCGGCGCGCTGAGGTGCGGGCCGGCTGGGGGCGCGCCTGGGCTGCCGGCGGGCCCCCCGGACTTGCAGCTGGGCAGGGGGCTGGATGACAGGGTCGCCGCGTGTTCCCCGCCGCTCCCAACGGGCCACCCTTCTGCTCGACTCGTCCCTGCGTTTGTCTTGCTGTCGGACCGCCTCTGCAGGAGCTGCAGCAGCTGGCAGACGCGGCGTCCGCCTCCGACGCGGCGCTGCAGCAGTGCCGCGGCGAGGCCGCCGACGCGCGCGCGGCTGCCTCGCAGGCGTCGGCGCGGGCGGAGCTGTCTGCCGCCGCCAGCGGCCGCCAGGTGGGCGCCCTGGAGGAGGCCCTGGAGGCGCAGCGGCGGGACATCGCCACACTTGCCGAGCACGTGGGCAGCTGCCTGGCAGCTGCCGCGCTCGGGGACAAGGGGCCGCCCCCGAGTGTGTCGTACCTGAGCTCGCTGCTGGCGCCGCCGCCGGCTGAAAGGCACGCGCTCGGCGGCGGCCGGCCAGGCACTGCATGGGTGAGCCTGGCGCATCCCAATGGTTATGCGTGGGGGTGTTTGAGGGCGACAGCGTCGGCCAGGTGACTGCTCGGCGCTCTGATTGTCAGCCCCAGGGCTTGGTTTGTAGAATGAAAGCACACTGTACAGGAACACTGTGTTTCATGGATGCGCTGCGCTCACTGCTGCCCCTGAATAAACTCGTCCGAGCCGCTTCTCCTTTCCGCCCTCCCCATGCAGGACGAGCGCCTGAGCGATTTTGATGCCTTTGTCTCGAAACTGCGCAAGCGACTGCTGGCTAGTGACACCGCGGCCGCCAGGCTAAAGCTCGCCGCGCGGTCTCCAGGGCTCTCCCCGGTGCGGTGATGGTCGCTTGCGTCTGCTGCGGCCCTGCGTTGACCGTGCGTTAATCTGGCGTTTGACCTGTCGTTGACTGCCGCTGACAGGCAGCTACTGAATCATGTGGGCTGTGCAGACGTGTTACCAGGGTACATTCAACCGGTGTGTGGTGACTCTAGATGCCTGTGGCTAGCTGTGTAAACCTGCCGTGTCTGGACGGGGACAACAGCACTGCCACAGTCCGGGGTGGATCGGCTGGCAGCACAACTCATGCAGGTGCCAATGCTCTGGCTGTTGACTGGCTGTTGATTGGAGCATGCAGTCAGCGCGCTGCTATGATGGAAGGGAGCAGGGAGCGGCACGCAGGTGGCCGGCCAGATGAGGCGGTGTGCCTCCCCAACATTTCATGTGGTGTACCAGGCCCTTAATTCTGAGTGTCGTACACAAACCTCAGGCATGTAAGGAGGTTGCTGAGCATGTCCCCTTGAGTCCTGTTTTCTCATGGCAACAAAGTGGCCAGTACCAACATCTCCGCAGCTTGCAGCTGCAGGAAATCGGGGCAACGTGGACAACTGCCTGTTTGCGCTGGGCTTTTTCTGAAGTTGTGGTGTAGCATCCCTGACCCCAGCACTTGAGGGTTTTAGGACCCAAAAATGATTGCCTCAAAGCTGAGAGGGTGACTTCAGCCCCTGCTGGCAGACATCCGCCTGTGTGGTCAGCCGTGCCTGCTGACCGCTCGGGACGACCAGCTGCCAAACAGCTTCGCGCTGCTCCGCAGCGGCTGCGCTATGCACATTGCTCAGGCACATTGGTGTCAGGGACACCTTCTTTTAACCAGGAGGCCTTTGCCGCAAACAGGCCGGGGTCGTGCACTCTAGCAGATCACGTCCGCGACCATGCTGCCAACCAGCAGGGCTGGCACCCTCGAGGGTGCCAATGGCGTTCGTCATCAGTCGGCAGCTCATGTGCATTGCGGTCGTCTGGTCGGGCGCTGCGGCAGCAGCACGGTGCAGCACAGCAGCAGTGTGACTGCGCCCGCGCGGGCCCTCCAGACGAGGCGCAGGTGGGTGCAATTGTATTCGTGATCATGTCATGCAAAGCTACGGCTTCTAGGCCCGCTGCTGAGGCGGGATCCGCCAGCCCTCGAAGACCTGCGGGTTGGTTTCGTTTCCTGAGGCATATGTTCGCTCCAGGCCTATGGAGATCCAGAGTAATCAAGCTATTCAACATGTATCTGACGGCGCCCGCTGCGCGCCCGCGGGCTCCCGCGCACCCCGCAGCGCCGCGCCCCGCCCCACCGGCCGCCGCACCCTCGCCGCGCCCGTCCGTGCCGTCCTCGCCGAGGGCGCCCGCGCGGCCCCCGCCGACGGCTGCCCCCGCGGCGCGCAGTGGGTCGTCCACAAGTTCGGCGGCACCTGCATGGCATCGGCGGAGCGCGTCAACGGCGCGGCGCGCCTGATCATCGACGACCCCGCAGAGGGCAAGGTCGTGGTCTTGTCCGCCATGGGCTCCACCAAGGAGTCCCCCATCAAGGTCACAGACCTGATCCTCAACATGGTCAGCCGCGCCGCCAAGCAGGACGCGGCGTTCCTGGTCGACCTGGCGTCGCTGCAGGAGAAGCACGTGTCGGCGGCAAAGGCGCTGCTGGGGGAGGGGCCTGCGCTGAGCAGCTTCATCGCGCGGCTGCTGGAGGACATTGGGAACCTCAAGGCCATGCTGCAGGCCATATGCATAGGTACGCGGTTGGTTGGGGGAGGGGGCCCTGACCCTGAGTGTACCGTAGTGTGCTCGATTAACGCGGGGGCAGTGGAGGCAGGGAAAAAGGAGGAAGGGAGCACGGCCGGCCGGGCTCGGCTGCCTGAGGCTTTGGGGCAGGTGGACCAGCCGATGCATGGGGCCGCGGCCTGCGTCGCGGGCGGCGGCGCATCCACACTGCAGGTGCCCCTGGCATCGAATGACCGCGACGCAGCGTGCTGGCGGCCACAGGCCACGCCGCCGCCGCCGCCGCCGCAGCAGCAGCAGCGGCGGCGTCAGAGCCAGCAGCAGCAGCAGCAGCAGCAGCAGCGCGTCAGAGCTGCGGAGATCGCTTCAGACCCTGCTGACCGGCCTGCTGCCGTGCCCCTCCCCTGCTGCCCTGTCCGCCTCCCAGCCGGGACCCAGACGGAGGCGTTTGTTGATTTTGTGGTGGGCCACGGGGAGCTCTGGTCGGCGCAGCTCATGGCGCTCGCCTGCCAGCAAATGGTGCGGGCCGCGGGTGTGCGCGGGGCTGGCCCGGGTCGGCCGGCGGCAGGCGGCTGGGGGGCTCGCCTCTTGTTGCCGGGTCGCAGCCGCGTACGCGGCAGCTGGCAGCGGTGGCGTGGGACAGCCAGCTGCTGCGTGGGGTGTGGGGCTGGCAAGGGAGGGGTGGGTTGGTCCATGGCAGGTAAAAGCTGCCGCCACCGCTGGTGGCACGGGCACACTTGCTGATTCAGTGGCGGGCCCAACTGTAGCCCGAGACCTGGGCGTGTGGGCTGGGCTCGGCCGGCCGCATGCACCGCGTAGAACGCGGAGTTTGGGAATCACGGCACCAGCACCCCGGCAGGCTGCCTCCCGGCCCGCCACTGCAGCTGCAGCTGTCTGCACACACAAGCACACACTGACCCTCTCGCCCCATCGCATGTGTCATTCGCGCGCCCTCATTTGCCAACGCGCGTTTGCAGGGTGCTGACGCTGTGTTCATGGACACGCGCGACGTGCTGGTGGTGTCCCCCACCAGCGACGGCACCAGCGTCGACCTGGACGAGGACGCGTCCAACGCCAAGCTGGACGCCTGGTTCAAGAAGCACGGCAGCCACCGCATTGTCATTGCCACGGGCTTCATCGCCAAGAACAAGGAGTGAGG